AAAATCGGGCTCCTCTCACAGCCTCTTTATGAATTTCTAAACTTATGAATATGAAAATATCAGTTGATTTATCATATTTATATATATTTTCCTAAATTTTCCAGTAATACATATCATTTTAATTAAATATTTCATTTTTTATAGCAAAAGAGCTGGACGAGTGGTTTGGTTTGCGTACACCTATGTTCATATTTGCGGTTTTGATGACATACCTGCTGTTAATTTATAAAATATTGCCATAGTAAGTTTTATAATTACATTATATGACATTATTATTTACATTCATATAACAGGAAATATAAAATTATAACAATAACAAAACTATTATACTCTGTAGCAACATGTTGCGAGAGTATAAAAAGATTGTGGAATATACAAAGTGTATATGTAGCTTGTTGAATGTACATATGTATATGTATATACTTATACATATCAATCATAATCTAATCTCTTCTAGATTTTTAATACTTTATTGCTTATTTTTGTATTTAACTGTCCAAAACTAGTTTATTATGAGCATAAAAAACATAAAAAAGAATGTAAAGTAATTTATTAATTAAAATTTTTTTTGTTTACTGTAACCTCAATAAATGTTCATTAGGACTCGAGACACTACTGATACACTAGAAAATACAGTCGCAATCGTATGTAATGTAAATCATATTAGTAACTAAACCAACATTCGAAAATTCTCCGCAAAGCCTAATATAACAATTCCAGCTAAGGATCAAGATGTCTACAGTTGTAGACTAAAAAATTTTACTCTAATAATCATTAAATTTGTATTTAAAAAATTTTCACATTTTTAAAACAAATGAGACGCAGAGTTTATTTACACATATGTATGTATGTACATAAGAAGAAAGCTGCAAAGCTATTAATCCTTGCATTTCCGTGAATGATAAGCGGTAAACAAAACCATCTCGCATAATTGTCTTATTTTACAAGAATTTAATTAGTTCGCGTGCTTTATTGAACTCGGTGTGACGGTTAAAGCGTCATTTAGGACAAATTAATTAGCATTTGATTGGAAATTCATGAGAATAATTAAGCTGGGAAGTGAATTACTTTAAAAGTATGCCGTCGTACTTTGTGAGTACAAATAAATTAATAAATAAACAGTGCAAATCATTAAACAATGATTACAGGCAAAACGTGTCCGCGACTTAAATACATATACATATATACATGAATACATATAAATACGCAACTAGGAAGCGCACGCAATGCCAAAGTACATAAATGAAAGATCAATTTAAAAGAGGAAACATAACCTCAATAACCAATGTTTAAGCGCATACCATATATGTATGTAATTATAAGCTTGAACTTGTGCACTTCTTATAAATATGTGTTATGAACTCGCGCATTTTTTACGCAATTTACACTTTTTTATACAAAAACATTAACATATATGCTCGTGTACACACTTTTCTATTTGCAGTTATATGAAGGATCGTGAGCCCTATCAGCTAAAAACCTATATTATTGTCTACAATACAATGCAAATGCTCTCCTGTATCTATATAATCAATGGGGTAAACTTACACATGCATAGCATATGCATTTTTATTTTAATTGCATACATTTCTTGCAACAGATTTTCCGCATAACCTCAACGAGCGTTTTTCATTTCTGGGATTGTCTTACGTTAGATCCGAACACATATTCAGAATATCTGTTTAATCGCGTCACTTACTTCACATTCTGGCTAAAGATTAGTGAGCTGTCGGAAACTATCGTATTCGTGCTACGTAAAAAACAGAATCAGGTGTCGTATCTGCATGTATTCCATCACTGCTCAACTGTTACATTGATATATCTGCTGCTCACGGATTATAGAGGTAAGTGAGAAATTAAAAAATAAACGTTTTTTTTCGTTTTTCAGTTTTGCATTAGAATCAACTGTAATTCATTGCGTTGTTATTAATCTTCACATTCTCAGGTACCTCAGCTTTGTATCCGATTTTACTCAATTCCACTGTGCATGTGATTATGTATGCCTACTACTTAGCCGCAGCTGTGTGCGATGCGGAAACTATAAAGCGTTTAACACCAATCAAGAAATCGATTACCACTATTCAAATGATACAATTCGTACTGATTCTTACCCAAGCGGGATTCTTGATGTGTCGCTGCGAAATATCCAAGTTGGTTGCAACTTACTATTCTGTCGTTGTCGTTGTTATATTTTATGGATTTTATGACTTCTACAATAAGGCTTACAAAGCTAGTAATAGTAGAATTAGTGATAAGAGCAGTTAGCACTTCTTTGTTTTTATTGTTGTTAAAAATTTAATTTTTATAGTTTTGTGTAAGCTGCTAACACATCATAACTAAATGGTCTTCAAAAATTGTTTAATAAAAATATATACATACATATGTATGTATGTATACTATATGTACTTATATAAGAAACTTTTTTTATTAAGTTTTGGTAATAATTAATAAATTAAATGAGAAAATTATACTTTTGTCCGATTTGGAAAATTTGTTCGGATATTGTAGCGTTGCCTTGGACAATAATTTATGCAGAATTTCATGAAAATATCTCGTCAAATTAAAAAGATTTCCATGCAAGAACTTGATTTTTATTGTTCAATTTTTATGGAAGCTTTGTATGTATATGATATCGGTGGTTGCGTCATATGATTCTTTGGAGAAAAAATTACGTGTGCAAAATTTCAGAGCGATATCTCAAAATCTGAGGGACTGGTTGACGTGTAAATACAGACTGTCCAGGGAATAATATTTAGATAAATAATATACTAATTTACTAATAGTGACCTCAATCACATGCCATAATTACTGAACAATTAGTTAAATGTTCAATGTTTTGTAATTATAGAGTACATATCGATATAGGTCTTCTATAGAGAAGCTCGAAGAATTGTTAACCGAGTTTTGGTTTTAAAATCGTTCATTATACTTTGTAGCAACATTAAGACCAGAAAGTTTCCGAAAAATGTTTTTTTTTCAATATTCGCAATTTGGTTCTTCATTAATTCGTTTTAACGGGACAGACGATCAATACAGAGTATTATTTGAGCGTTTTTAGGTATTTGCGCGAAAACATTCATCGTTTCCGGAATTGTGGGCCAACAATATTTTATACTAAGCACTTGCTTGAATTTGATATGAATTCTAACCTTGAAAATCTACTATGTTTATAGTGGAAAATTTATTAAATGTGCGTTGATTCATTTTTGTAATGTTTTGAATTTCTTTGAGTTCCTTTACCTACAAACATGTATTTGTTCATTTCTACACCCTACTCTAAGAGAGTTTTACTCCACCTTTGAGGCGTGTCTTAAATCGAGATAACTAGAATTGCCTACCATGAACAAATTGAATTGCTACTTGTGGATTTTATTTTAAATATTATATAATTAAAAAGTTTAAAAATCTTTAAATTGGCATATTTGAGAATTAAATATAAGCACCTGTCAATATAAAGCGTGCGTATAGTTTCATCAGAATACACATACTTATATTACATTACTGATAAGATAAAACAATAAACAAAAGATTTCTAATTTCCGTTATGATAAATTCTACACATACGTGTACGAGATGTGTACCTTCATGTGCCCAAAGTATCTATTTATTCAAGAAAAATGTGATATTGAATTAAACTCAAGTTCTATTAATATAATAGTTGGTTGAAATCAGAGCATTAGTATTATCATAATACTATTATTATATTATTTCAAAACATATTGAGGGAATCATAATAACAGTTATCAACAAATTAAGTAATTACTGCTATCAGTGGATTGCGCTTACTGCAGCTGTACGCTGCTAAAGTAGTAAGATTTGATAACGCTTTTTAAACACACTGTTGAGCCATGTACACAACTGCATATATTTATATTTGAACTCACTACATTAATCATGATGCGTAATTAACGGCTGCCGCGCCCTTAATTTTATAATATTTACACTTTTTATGTTTGGCATTTATAACCAGCGGTTGAAAATTTTGGCTAGCATTCAAGGTCACAACTCACCGTATAGTATGACAGTAGGCCAGCATTCTCGTCCAACACGAAAAAGCGATATTGCCAACCTTTCATCACATTTGTCCATTTACTAAGTGTTCCCTCCAGCGTAGTGGACATGATTTTGCACTTTTGAGTTTGTGGTTTAAGCACCGAATGAAAGCGTAAAATATGTAGTTAAGTATTTGCCGCACCGTAAATTGAATCAGCACCTATACCGGTAGGTGACGCAACTTTACTCTATTGCTGCTTACTTTTTAATGCAAATAATATAATAAATTAACCAAAAACGAACCGAAAGTAGTTAATTTCTTGTTACACACAATCAAGTTACTTTTGTTTAACAATGCTAATTGTGACGTATAATTTAGCTGCTTCTCCTGCTGTTGAAGTTGTCCCAGTCTTTGCTGCATTGCCCTTTGCATGAATAACACACATTCACGATATCTTCTTTTGATTTGAGTAACTGCACGAATACGTTTCAGTGCAGCTTGTGTCGCACGCGACCTTGACTTAGTAATATTTACGAAATTTCATTTAATTGCGCTTTTCTCACTACACTTTTTATTTTTTAATGTGTGTCCTTGTTTGGCATGCTATTTTAAATAAATCTAAATTTTTGTTAAGAAGAATTTTAAAGTGGAAAAACAAAAAGATTTTCACGTACACTTTGACTAAATACTGCCCGGAGAACATATGATCGCTAGGAATGTTGCTAATTTGGCGAAAAATTGAAGCTACAGTGAGACGATTGGAAATCGAAACAGTGAAAAGAGTGCTGAGCACAAAAATTAATAATGAAATAATGTTTTTTGTTCAAAATTATGTGGCAACAGTCATATTTTATTAAAACTGGGTAATATTATGTGTACATTGTTGATTTTTAGTGCATTGCCAATTGACAGCGATTTTCACCAATATATAATACGCCTCAACAAACATTAGTGACACAGGGTAGTTCACGTGAAATTATTTTAATGCCAATAATTTTTAGTACAGCATGTAGTTATTTATTTTGTTTGCTTATTTTCTTATTCGTACTGTACAGTCAGGTCGGCAAAGTTAAAATAAATTGAGGAAAGAACAATAAATAATTTATTTGCTTTAAAAACTGCAGATATCGTAAATTTGTAGTGCCGAAAATAAATAAATAACAATATGTTCTCCATTTATTAAAAAACAGGCAATTGTAGTACTATTTCATAATTATTTGTGGGTCCAAACTTAAGCTAAAAACTTACATTTCAATCCCATTATGTACATATATTAAAATTATGTTTAGATATGTATTCGTATACATATATTCAACAAATTATATAGTTATTTGGTATACAACTTAAGCTATAATTTACTTAATATAAACAAAAATAAAACAATTATTATTTTTATTAAAAAAATATAAACATACTAAAATGTTTCCAGCGGTTGAGCTAATGTCGTAATGTTATTAAAATAACCGGCAAACACGTAACGATATAATAAATAACCAAACAATGCTATCCACAGGCCTTTCACGAGCTTATCCACGCACCACATGCTGCAGAAATTTTAAATTTTTTATAAATTAAATAAAGTGTTGTTTTAAAACACAACAATTCAATAGCTTACATCTTCATATGCTTCCTAGCAGCAGGTATGGTATCATCGCTCTCCTTTAGTATCAGACGACGCGCACAGAGCACACACTGCGTGAAATAATCAACCAGATCCACGTCGATCTTCTCTATAACATAGGTGAGACGTTCCTTTTTATTCATCAACGCACGTATGTTAACCACTTCGGTATTATCGAAGTTCCAAATCTTATTCGCATAGTATTCGAATACCTGGAAACCGTTATTGATGCGTTTCTGCACACGACAAAGACTGGAAAGCGAGAGTATAATTATAAAAAAAAAAATGTTAAAACATTATATAGTTAAAAACTCACACTGGCGGATATCGCAACAGTATCAATAGCGCATCCACGAACAACGCCGGTATCCAATGGAAGAGCACCATACACACGACATGTAAATAATAGTTGGACTTCATGGAACCACCCGGATACCAGGCCACACCATTCAACGGTATCTTATTCTCAATAACCCAACGACCGCATTCGATAATCTCATTCCACGACACTTTAATATCATTCGAACTGGTCATATGCGAAACACGATTAACTTTACTGCGATCAGTGGTTGTTAGGAAACGCCAACTAGCCACGAGCATGCCATTCACAGCAATATCCACGGGCAAAAAGTCGCCATAACCCGAAGAGTTGCAGTACATCGTGCGTATGACACCTTTACCGGCGCCAATTAGCAAGCCGGTTGGTCCATTAATATTGTCTGTCCAACCGGGTAGCGGCTCCTTCCAGATCGGTATGACAATGGAGGGCCGCAGTATGACAGCGGGTAATTCATTGAACTTCTCCACGACCAGCGCTTCGGCTAGCGATTTGGTGTAGGCATAAGTGTTGGGTATGTCACCTAAGATTTTCTTCTCGATTGTAGACACTTCGTCATCGCTGAGCCACTCGCAAGCTTGCATGACATGGTGAGGATTTGCTGGTGGATCGTAGGGTTTCTCGTAGAGTGTCTTAATATGTAGATGACAATAAGCCGTGGAGACGTAAGCAATTAAGTCTAGATGCTTGAGTGTGGCCGCCAGTTGTAGCATGTAGTGTGTACCGCGTGTATTCATGAAAACTGCTTTGCGTAAGGGCTCGTCAAAACTGTTATAAGAGAAGAAAGCGGTAAATTAATTGTATTTATTAAGTAAATATAGCGTAAAGAAAGTTTTTAGCGGATTTGGTGCGGAGTGCTCTACAAATTTGAAGATGACGGATATATATTCAGATTTACGACGTCACTTTATGAAGTTTAACGATCTCATGTATTATACTTGGAACGTTATAAAGGAAAGGAGGTTTCAAAATCAGATGTATTTACTTAACAGAAGAACGTTGAGACCGCGCAGAGTACTACCGAAAGAGCTCCGTAAGCTTAAAACTCGTATAAACAGCCACAGATTTTTTAGCGTACCGGAAACAAGAATCCAGAATGTTCCTGAGATTTCAAATAATTTTTAATGACATAAGCTGGAGCTCATGTATATATGTGTCGAAATCTCCAATGCGATCAGTACCAATTATAGCATAAGTAAGCTTACTTTTACTTCTATAGGCCTTAACTAAAACATTGAAAATAGTCTGCGGATTTTTTTAGGTTAGCCCAGAAAACTTAGTCTTCTTTGGTTGCAGTCTTTTAGAAGGTAATAAACACAATTTTTGATCTTCTTTGGGAAACATACTTTATGTTATAAATTTAATTGCTTTCAATTGACTGGAGGACGGACTAGGTCTATAGTTAATCGCACTTTACATTTCATTCACAATGTGAGCCTCGGCTTTAATATTTTGAAGAATATAGCGGTATCAAATTTCAGACAAACCAAAAGGTTTAAGTACTGATGTCTACATTTTCCTTTTTGTTAGAGAAAGAGCTTTAAGTTTAAAATTTAAGAAACTTCGAACAAAATGTGGTAACTACAACCACAAAATATACCAAAGAATAATTTTCCAAAGCTCACCGTATGGTCGCCGCACAATGATAGACGATGGAAACTTCCTTGCGTAATTTGTGCAAATTTTCTTCTGAAATACCCAAACCCGGCAGCAGAACATCCCCTTCTATGGCCTCCACAAGACTAAGAATTAGTGACTCGCCGCGTTGTTGTTTAACCATGTCGAATAGCTTACGTTGAAGAGAGAGCGACAAAAAATAATTATTTACCGTTATAAACAAGAAAACTAATTGCATGCATTTTTTCAGGTATTAAGCATTGAAGAGTTGGGTGGGAGAAGTGAGGAATTCATCACTTACCACATTACTGAAAATGTCCTTTATACGCTCTTGGGGATTTTTACCCTTCTTTGGCCGAATTAACAAGTAGATCTTCTTCAACTGACCGCAGGACCTGCAAAAAAAAAGTGTAAGTAAATCAAATGATAAATGCAGTCGTGTCACTTTCGCTGCTAATTAATCGCCGTCACGTTGCAAGCCGCAGCGACACGCACAATTCGTGGTCTTGGACCTGTTTGTTTTTGGTATCAGTTACCTGAGTAATTTCTCCACCAGCACTTTGCCAAGGAAGCCAGTGCCGCCTGTTATGAAGAGTGTTCGTCCGGCGAAGCTTGCAGCAATCCGGTCCTCGTCATTGTCGTCCACATCGTCGATGGTCACCTGTGGCTGACTTTCAAAGCTGAATTTCGGCTTACTGGCCATTTTGCTGTCAGCGGCGGAAGTGCAAAATTTGTTGCTGTAAATATAAGAAAAAAAATTAAAATTTCTAAAAATTTGGGTTAGGCATTAAAGCCTATGAATAACATAAAGTTATGGGATTTACGCAAAAAGTAATTTACAGTAATGCGCTACAGCATGTTTTACTCTTTAGTATAGCAGTCTTTCTTTTTTAGGTTAACTTTAAGACACCTACCATAATTCTGTGACAAAGCTTTAACCAATATCTATCCAAGTTTTTGACATGCACGAGCAAATGTATCTTGCGACCGTCTCTGCTTTAATTAGTAATTTACCTCAGCGAAGGCTGAGCCAGCTTACGACTTAAGAACTAGAAAAAAGTTGAGGAACTCTAGTAGGAGGATAGCATAAGTCCAAAAACAATAAAGAAAAGGTTATGACACACAACATTCTCTACGATCTGGCAAACTTTCATAATAATTGTAAACAAAGCCTTCTTTCAGTCTATATGGCAATTGGCAGGCACGACCATTAAATCGGAATACGATAAGAAGCAACAGAATACAGGAAGTGTAAGTCAACCGCTAACAAAGGAGTTTATTGAATAGGAATTGGGAAACCTGTGGTTTTGTAGTTTGAAATATTGTAATTAGATTAGCACTCCAGACTTTGTCCAAAGCGAACGAGAGAGGAAGGGAGATCGAGGACAATTCCTCCACGACCCGAAGTTCTCAAGATCAGAGGGCCCGCATCTTATATTATCGCTTAGTCTCGGTTTTCTCTCTACGACCCTGATAGTCGGTGCTAACATACCGTTAATACGATGACACATACGAGTATATATGTATGTTTTTGGGTATATTCAAATTTATTTATACTGAACTTTAGCAAGGTCAATGATGAGTTCAAATTAGAGTTCAAGCGAAGTCAATCTAGAGTCAAGCTAAGGTTGAAGTGAGTTCAAGCTAGTGCTCACCTCCCTTACATTATGCAACATTATTCCCCTTTACAATGGATAAATCATATATCAACGAAGATATCACTTAACTTATGTATGTATATGTCAATATTCATCTAAAAATGTATGAAATCGGAGAACATCTTACCCATCAAGATCATAAATACCAAATATGAGGGCCTTAATGCATCCATAGGGATGTCTTTATACAGAAATCAAATTGTTAAACTATTGATCTGAAAGTTTAAAATATGTATACATATATATTTGTGATTGCATAACGCCCACTAGAAGAATGCTGGAACAACCTAGGACCACATGAAATATTTACCAGTGCTGGGGATAGATAAAGCTTTAAGGGGAGAGAGGAGTGCTTAATATACCATAGGTGGCAGGGAAAGCGCCCATTTTTACTCATTCTATTCTATTCCTATTCCACTGTATACTACTTCTAGAACTATTAAAGAGGTCTTCGGCACATATTTGATATACATTTTCTTATCTATTTGCTTGGCATGGATACTTTGAATCCGTTTCTAATTGTTGTGAAGGATCACATCTGCATTAGATACAACAACAGACGCTGCGGTTCCGTTCAAAGCCGCAGAAAGTCTTACAGGTTTTCACCAACTCGATTTTATTAGTGGTGAAGTTACAAGTTGTTCACAAATTTTAATTGGAAGACAGTGAATGAAAGGATAAGGATAACCATAAACGAGAAGAGGTTGGTATTCTTACATAATGTTTCATTTATGTTAGGACCTTTCTTGAGAGTAAGCTCACCTCTTGGAGTTATTGAAGTAAAATGCGGAGGATTTTGAGACGCTGCTAGAAGCTCATCAGATTTTGGTTCTAAAAAATCATTTGCTTTCATTTAATAACTAAACTGAACCAATATATCGAATATGTATGTATGTATGGTACATATATATGTATGTATGTATGTCTATAGGAGCTTGAGTTATTACAACATTAAAAAGTAAAATTGCATGTAATTTTCGAATTATGATATTTCTAAAAAATTTTATGCATTTTTAATTGCCTTGTTGTGCTGTGAATTATTTGCAAATTTTACCTGCTCTCGGCGTCAAATAAACAAGTCTCAATCGAAATTCAAAGCCACCATAAATCACCATATTCCGCGAAAAGATAATGTAAGTATGTACGTGTA